TTACAAGTCATTCAACAAATATATACATATACAAACTTGTAAACAAAACAACTTGATGATTCATCCATCTTATGTCTTTGCGCCACTTCCTGTAATACAAATAAATTGAGTGGGTCAGGCTTGGGAGCCTAGTGAGCATATAGGGTTTTCAACCCACAATAAATAATTAGTTTTAATTCCACCAACCAACAATAACCTAGTTACCCCTTCCCGTTATTCTCACTTTACGTCCCTAAGACAACTAACACAAGGGACCTACTCTAAGAATATTTCATCGGGGCGACAACACATGCATTCAGGGGTTTCCCAGCAATATATGTCAAATAAGGCAACAATGACGGGGATGGAGTACAGCGAATGAACACCCGAGTTCATTAACACCTACAGGTGGCGAGCCTGCTAGTTCGGTTAGCATTTTAAGTTTAAGTTTAGAAATCCTACAAATTCTTAGTTCGCTTAAACTAATGCTTTGATATCAACTGTGACATCCCCAAATCACGGCTAGAAAAGTCCGGTTTAATTTATGCTTTTAAAATAATTTCAGAGTAATCCTTTGATTAAAACAGTTGCGGAATTTGATCCCAAAAACAAAACGTGATAAAATAATATTTACCAAAGCATTTCGTAAAGAAATGTATTTTCATTATATAATCAAAACTCGGGATGTGATGTTTCGATACAGACCATAAAGTATAAACAATAATATTACAAGTCATTCAACAAATATATACATATACAAACTTGTAAACAAAACAATTTGATGATTCATCCATCTTATGCCTTTGCGCCACTTCCTGTAATACAAATCAACTGAGTGGGTCAGGCTTGAGAGCCTAGTGAGAATATAGGGTTTTCAACCCACAATAAATAATTAGTTTTAATTCCACCAACCAACAATAACCCAGTTACCCCTTCCCGTTATTCTCACTTTACATCCCTAAGACAACTAACACAAGGGACCTAGTCTAAGAATATTTCATCGGGGGCGACAACACATGCATTCAGGGGTTTCCCAACAATATATGTCAAATAAAGCAACCATGAGAGGGATGGAGTACAACGAATGAACACCCAAGTTCATTAACACCTACAGGTGGCGAGCCTGCTAGCGTTCCACGGGACTATCTAGAAAAGTTTGTGGTTGTCATCTAAACTCCTCTAGATAACTGAATCAAAAACAACATCGAGGCCTCTCATCTGTTTATCACACAACTATCTACCCATGTTCTACCCGACATATTAGTAGATAAAAATATATATATTTATACATAGTTTAAAAACTGTATAGCATTCTCATTCAATACATATTCCAAAGAACAGATGAGACAAATACACATAACACGTATTTCATAGAGAATAAATCATATCTATGAGATAGAAGAAAGTGAATATACATTCACATATATAACAACAAAATATACACATAACACATATTTCGTATAAAATACTTCATAATTATGCATTAGAAGAAAGTAACCACACACTCACTTGATCAGAAGATGATCGGACAACACTACGGCTTATAGAAGTAGTATTCTTCGGCAGATCTGGAAGATCTTCACAAAAACCGGGCTCCTCGCCGGCAGAGCTTTGGCTCCGGAATATCACTTCTCGGGATGTTCGGGGCTTCGGGACTTGCTTCGGGGCTCGGGAATGATACCGGGGCTTCGGGATAATTCTTGCATGAAAAATGATGCAAAAACACGAGAGAAAGGGAAGAAATGAGCAAAGAACTCGGCTACCCTCGACATCCTTTTATAGGAGGCTGGAAACCCAAATTACGTTGGGCGTAAATTACATTACGCTGGGCATAATGGGGATAAGACCGCTGACTCCCCCTGGATATATCAGTATTTTTTTTATTTAAATTAAATACCGAAAATATTTAATAAAATTCAAAAATTCATATCTTCCTCATACGAACTCCGTTTTCGACGTTCTTTATATACCCGCATAGGTGAGATTACGCTCTACAACTTTTGTTTAAACTCCGTTGGCTAATTTTGAATTTATTTTTATTATTTATTTTTAGTAGGTCGGGACAGGAAAACTCCGTTATAAATTCATAACTTCTTCATCCGACATCTGTTTTCGCCTATCTTTTTATCGTTTCATTACTATTAATGAGATCTTCGATTCTCGTTTAGATTGTTTCGGCTAAAAACCACTCGATCTCAAATCGAGTATTCAGACTGCATACTGCTAAGTCGAAACTTAGAAAAATCATAACTTTCTCATACGAAGTCAGATTTGGGCGTTCTTTTTATGCACGATCTCGGTTTAACAAACTCTACGACTTTCGTTTAGATCACCAAGGCTAAATATTTCTCTAATGTAAATTTCACTTTTTACGTCATTCAGCGTTGCCGGTTCTGTCGCGAAACTTCGACATGTCATAACTTCTTCGTTATAACTCGGATTTCGACATTCTTTATGTAACGCCCCGTTCTTAAAGTATTAAATTATGAGTCCCTAAGATTTAAGGGAAAGGGGAGTGTTGGTCCTTTTATGGGAAATGGGTTTTATCCGAGAAGGTTTCGGACTGGTGTATGTTGTTAGAAGCGTAGGGCTTCTCGCCACCCTCGTGTAAATGTAAAGTCTATTGGGAACGGGTTTAGAGTAGAGCAGTTGCGGCATTTTGAAGATGATAATTGATTATAGCTCTTAATGGAAAAGTGGAAAAAAAGGGTTCCATGCAAGCCATGCATGTGTTTTGGAGTTTGGCTGGGTACGCCCAGTGTAGTAAAGGAAAACGGGGGGGGGGGGGGGCAAGGGTGAGTATGCCCAACGTACTAGAAGTACGCCCAATGTACTCTCAGAAACCCCAAACCCTAATTTTAGGGTCAGCCACTATATAAGGAACATGTTGGTTCATACCCTAGCCTCCATAAGCTCACCCTTAACTTTAGAAACCCTAGAAACCCGTATTCCCTCCATTTGTTGGGTGTGTTTGGTCTTGGAAAGCTCATTTAGGCAAAAGAGAAGCTAGAAGAAGAAAGGAGAAGTTGTCAAAGAAGGAGAGGAACGATTGGAGCTTGTAGATCTGGAGGGATATCATCCTTTGGAGCTTATTTGAGGTATAAAGCTTCTTGCTTGCCAATTATTTTGCATAGATCTAAGTGTTGTGAAGATTTGGCATCATTCTTGTCCCAAAAGTCCTTATATTGAATCATGCTTTGTGTTGGATGAGATTATCTGTCCTTTCAGACCTTAGGAGAGGTCTTGAGTGAGAAAAATGAGGTCCCAAGGGCTGTGGTTGTTCCATGTATGAGATATATAGGTCTTAATGGATTAAGACCTTGGATTAAGAGCTTTATGGATGTCCCAAGTGATAAAGTTTGAGACTTTATGAATCTTAGGCATATTTGGCCTAGGGATCTGAAGTTTGGGCTTAAGAGCTTAAGCTATTAAGAGTTTATAAGGACTTAATGAATTGCAAAGTTACCCCCGCGTAGCACTTGAGTACGCCCCGCGTAGCGGGCCAGTGCCCCAATCCTCATCTGTGATTCAACGTGTACGCCCCACGTACCAAGGAGGGTACACCCAACGTACTCCCCCTGATTGGACTTTAATGTTGGGCCTTAGAGTTTGGGCCGTTTGTGGGTTGTTGGTTTATGGGCCATGTCTGGAAATTTTGGATAGAGTATTTTGGGCCCAATTATTGTTATGGACCTTGGATCTAGGCCCATTTTGTGAGGTGGGCCCAATTTGGTAAATTGGGCCAATATTGGACTTTTTATAAGATTTGGACTTTGGCCTTGGCCCGATAAGTGGATGTATGCTTGGCCTAATGTGTATTTGTGCTATGTTGGCTAGTTCGGGATTTGCGGTGAGTTGGTAATTCGAGAATTTGCTTCTTCAGTTCAGAGTATCGGAAATCGCGAGGTGAGTTATCCTCACTATATCAACAGGGTCTAAGGCACCAAGGCCGACCCTTTATCGGATTGAGATCCGGGTATTTGTTGTCATGTTATTGCTTTGATATGTTTGCATCCTGGTAGCTAGGATGGTATATGTTAGAGATCTAGTTAAGATCGGTATCCTGATATGTAGGGTGATGCTATGCTAGTGACCGGTTAGGTCGGTATCCTGGTTAGGATGATGATATGTTATGTGATCTGTTCGATCGGTTTGTTGACTGTGAATTGTTATATGATTGTATGTTTATGTGCACATGGTTGTTTGTACTGGAGTTAGGTTGAGGCGTGTTCTGCTTTGTGCTGTAGGCCAAGATACCCAGGGTGGACCGGTTGTTCCGAAGGCCCAACGAGCGGTCCGGATAGGCTGTAGGCTCCACGAGGGTGGACCAGACGTGCCGAGGCTCGGAGAGTGGACCAAGACGACTGAAGGTCCGATGCGGGCGGACCAGTCATACTGTAGACTCAGAAAGTGGACCAGGTGGGTTGAAGGCCCGGTGCGGGCGGACCAACCACACTGCAGACTCGAGGGACATGACTAGACTCGGAGGGTGGACCCGGTGGACTGAAGGCCTGATACGACGGACCAGTCACACAGTAGACCCGATATGCATGGCTGTTCTGTGATCGGTTATGATATGACATGTTATACGTGTATGGTATATGTGGTTGGTATTTTGGGGGTATCTCACTAAGCTTTCGGGCTTACAGTTGTGGTTTAATGTTTTTCAGGTTTTTCAGGAGACCGTGACAAGGCGAAGGCGTGATCGTATCGCTCCTCGTGTTTATGTTTTACGACATGGTTCTGGGAATACTCTGATAATAAATGTATTGAAAACCTTTTTGTAATAACATTATTAAAATGGGTTGTTTTTGAAAAGTTTAAATTTTGTTGAAATTTTTGGTCGTTACACTTTATATCGTCGGAATCATTGTTTCAACTACTACATCTTTATGCAAAGATATCGGGCTTATCTCACACTTCAAATTTGACGCTTATTTTATTCTTAATTCATTAAATTATAATAATTAAGAAAATAAACACATAATTCACATAATTTACATAATACTCAAATATTTCATCATTAATACTTTAAAAAGAGTTACATTGGTTAACCTAGACTATTACATCAATGATAATGCTTAGCCTGGAAACGCAGACGTTACACGTATCGAGTATCTGGATTTTAAGATTTGTACAATCTCCATGACTCTACTGCATCTAAGTTGTTGTAATACAAAATCATTTTCATACATTCTACGAAGTTGCTTGGTGTTTGGTCTTATGCATCGGATAAAGTGTGCCTTGGAATTTTCTAATTGCTGAATCAGTTTAAATAATTGTTCCTGCAATTCATTATCCATAAATTTTATTAAAACCTAAATTCAATCATTTTCAAATTTCCTACAATAATATAATTATTACCTTGAACTTCACCCCGAAACTTTACCTTTCTTGCAACCATTACTTTTCCATATATTTTACTGAACATGTGATGATTAGTGTGAAGTTTTTGAGCGACGACGGTATCGACATGTTGAGTAGTTCTTTGAGCGACGACGGTATTCAAAAGTTTGAAGTCGGAAGCTATTGAATGAAAATTCGTGGTCGGTTTCAAATTTGGGAAATAGAATTTGTGGTGAGGGATCGAATTTTGATGGAACCAAGCCGGTACAAATTGATTCTTGGGTAAAGAAGACGAACATGGATTACAGGGAGAAAGTTGGAAGGAGACGGAGAATTGGTCCGAAGAAGAAAGATCGAAAGACAAGTTAGAACGACAGTCTGAGTGGAGGAAGAGAGATGAGGCGGTGGGATCCTGAAGAAGAAGAAAGAATAAAGAAGAAAGAAAGAATAAATAAGCAAAAGCGAAAGAAATACTATTGGACGAGGAGGGCGGCAAAGAAGAATCGTAATTGTGGCGATAGAATGAAAAAGTACAACTTCCGTGTCAAGCTAACGTCTATCTACAATTTCTTTAAGGCAGTGAAGCTTAAAAAAATATCCCGTGGCAAAAGTAGCAAGTGAAGGAAAATAAGTGGCATAAATAAGAAATCACAAAGTTTCCTTTTCACCATGTTTTTAAGGATTAATAATATATATAATGAAATAATTTGATAAATTCATTTAAAAATAAAAGATAAATTTAGATTAAACAATCAAATATATATATATATATATATATATATATATATATATATATATATATATATATATATATATATATATATATATATATATATATATATATATATATATATATATGTGGCATCATGGAAGTACAGATGGGGCTTCACCTAATCGCCGCGTCAACACCAACCTCCTCTCATCTGTTCTCGGCAATGACCATATCTCCAGGCATTTCCAAATCATTTCACGGTTTCAGAAACTGAAAAAACATGTTAGAATACTTCCCTCGCGACATATATCTCCAGGTCCTCAAATGGCTCCCTCTCAATTTCATTCTCCAATGTCGTACAGTCTGCAAATCATGGAATTCCCTCGTTTCAAGCAACGATTTCATCTCCGTTCACCACAATTTAACCAAATCGATCATCGAAAGCGGAAATCAAACGCTATTGATCAGGTATTTCGATCGAACACGTAAACTCGAGCAATACATCATCGGAAAAGATGACGAAACTTTCGGGTTAAACTTTTCTAATATTGATTTCCAATATGCGAGCACAAGCGCCTATTTTAGGGTTGTCGGATATTGTGATGGCGTATTTTGTTTGAGCGATGACTTATTTGATTCCATGTCTAAGGTTATTCTCTGGAACCCATCGATCAGAAAATCCATACGGGTTATGATTCCGAACAATGAAAAAAGTTTAACTCAAAGGACTGTTTTGGGGTTTGGTGTTTGTCCAAGAACTCACGATCCAAAGGTTGTGAGAATCATGTATGCGCATAACTTCTCGATGCCGCATAAGCTTCAAGACGCTCCATTGATAGACGTTTTTTCACTTTCATCAGGTGGTTGGAGGCAGCTTCTCGGGGGTAATCATAACAGTACTCCACATAAACTGATTCGATTAACATGGTCTCAGGTTTGCTTTAATGGAGTTATACATTGGGTTGCTTGCGACTGGAAACATGACGCGATTCTTCGTTGTTTGATCATATCATTTGATTTGGTCCATGAGGTGTTCGATGAAATGCCACTACCAGATGTTTTAACTCATCATGATGTCTCAAGCTTGTCAATCAGTACTCGCAAAGGATATCTTGTCATGCTTGAGTATGACATGGAAAGAGGGAAGGAATGCTGTGGTGTATGGGCTATGAAGGAGTATGGTATTGCAAGATCATGGGAAAAGTTATATGTTGTTCATCTACCTGGTATGTTAAGAAAGACGATTGGGTTTAGGGGCAATGGGGACATGGTAGTGGCGTTGAAGAATCATGAGTTAGTGACTATTGAATGCACAGGGAACATCAGGAGTCTTGATGTATATGCCAACATACGTTCTTTCTTCCTTGGGTCATATATGGAATCCCTAATTTTGATCAGTCAGATGGATCGACAGATGTATCTTGTTAATGGTGATGATGACGATGACACTTGTGAAAAATATAGAGATAAAAAGGAAGGTGGACATGTTTAAGTATGTATACATGGATGTGTAGGACTCACAAGTACGTAATATGTTTCGTTTGTTAATGAATATTCACAAAAGTTTGGGTCGTGAAAATGAAACATTAGATGTTTTTACGACAAATGATATCTTAGTTATGTTATTACAAAACATTTAGGCTTAAAATTACCCAACCAATATACATCATATTTGAATGAAAAAGAAACTAGAACATTCAAACATTTAACCACAATCCATATTTGGGCAAGAACAACATATTTGTTGAACGAATTTTAATGATTTGTCTATAAAATTATCCAAAATGAAAATTATATTAGAGTATCTTGGTTACTCGAGAACGGAAAGAATAAAGAATGATCAAGATAAACTAACAATGTGATTATTATGTCCGGCTCTAATGTCAGTGTTGGGGTTCAATCAATTCATAAACAGTTGAAAGAATCAGTCACGCGACAGTGAAATACAATTTTAAAATTCAACAATCCCAAAAGTCGGATTCAGTTATACAAATGATAATCAATAATAATCAACGATAATCAATAGTAATCAACGACTATAAGATGTTCGAGGATGATACCTTGTTATTTAGAGATCTTTTGACATAGAAGGAAGATGTTTGTTTTTGAAGAGATAATATTTGCACTCCATGAACCACAACGACAAAAGAAAATGTGGACTAAATGTCGGCCAGTTTGTAAGAAAGATAATGTCACTGCATAAAAAAAAAAAATTATAGTTTTTCAATATTTCAACAAGTAATCAAAGATTTATCGTTCACTATCATGTATAACACTTTTGACTAATTAAAAAAAATAGACAATGTAGGATGATTTACATATAGAATGAAGCATCTTTAACCAAACCCATGCACTAGATCATATTCTGGAATATAAAATAAGACATTTTATGGTGAATCAAGTTAATCACATGTACAATGAATCATATATAACCATTAAGGTGAAGCATCAAGCCTAGCATCAAACCAGGCCGATCCTTTTTGCAGAAAAACAAACCTTATTCCCACCTCTAAACACTTAAACTTGCTTGATTCTTTAAAACTCCTTAACATTTCAATTTCAAGATGCATTCTCCCAACTTCACCCCATTTCAAAGTACACAAATTCAATCTCAAAATCAGAATAGTGGAACATGAAGCATCGAGTGAAAATGATGATTTCAATCCGCCAATCATCGAGATCGCAGGGTTGTTTTAGGATTTCAAACGCATCCCCCCATTTGTATTTTTCAAGGGTATTTCCATGGTTGAGATGTTTGAAGATTTTAAATAGTTTTAGAATTCTAAATTTTATTATGCTTTCTTTGATAGCAAATTGTTAAAGAATTCCATTTAAAGACTTAAAACGTCAAAATATTGCTCTATATTTCTTCGCGTGTGTGTGTATATATATATATATATATATATATATATATATATATATATATATATATATATATATATATATATATATATATATATATATATAAAAGTTACCTTAATCTTTAATATCGATATATAAGAACACACGCCTTATCTTTAATTATTTAGACATCATAATCATATAAATATTATAAAAAATGTCTACAAAATATTACTCTATTCCTCCATAAAAAAATCATCTTACTTTTTATGTAAAGGTGGCAATTGGCCTTTCTAACCACAATTGTGTATTTTTCGTTTCGGTTAATAGATCGAAATCCCATGCTCCTCTGATTTCACCAACTCAGTGTGTGATTCAAGGAATCGGCGACAATTTTAGGGCTAGGCTTTCAATTTTGGATGCAGAAAACCAAATCCATCAGCCAGTCGATCTTTCTTCTCATGATGCATTTGGGAATTCAGAAGCATTAATACTGATGAAGAAGATTGGACGAGAGGATTTTGTTAATTTGACCCTAATTCTCAAATACTCCCAATTCCCATGGACAACCGGAGTAGCTGCTGTATTTGTTTTTATCAGCCTCACCCTTTCCATTTTCCTCTTACTCCAGCACCTATCTGCTTACAAGAACCCCGAGGTCTCTCTCTTTAATAATCTACCTTTATCTCTCACACACACCACACACATACACATTAAATGTAGAGAGTAGGTTGATGATCGCATGGACATTCTTGCAGTTAAAAAACGTTCATATAACCAATATCTGTTTCATATATCCTTCTCATGATGTATTTGGGAAATTTATGAAGCAATCTCTTGTCACATAAACTGAAGAAAAGTATATGAGGGTAAAAATCCGTAATTAAGTTTCTGTTTTTTGATCGACAGGAACAGAAGTTTTTGTTGGGTATTGTACTCATGGTGCCTAGTTATGCTATTGAATCTGTAAGTGATTTACAAATGACTTATATTCAAGTAGTTGTATATACATTATGCATTGGTAATTGATAATGTATAGATGTTTAAGTAAACAAATATATGGAGAAAAACATGATCAATCTAAATTAATTAATGGGTGTTCATTTGTTTGGATATACTTATATGTGTAGATAGATATTTAGGCTTTCAAACTTCATTGTGCAGTTTGTATCGCTATTGAATCCATCAATAAGCATTGCAGTTGAGATACTACGAGATTGCTATGAAGCTTTTGCAATGTATTGCTTTGGGAGATATCTTATTGCATGCTTGGGTATGTAATATGTATCTTTTATCTGATCTTTGTATTTGGAAATGATGAACTTAATTAATTATAATGGGTTTCTTGAAATTAATTAAGGGGGCGAAAAAAGAGCAATCAATTTCATGGAGAGGGAAGGGCGTGCAGGTCTTAAAGGCCCCTTGCTAGAAAAACGTTCTTCAAAGGGAATCATTACTCATGTTTTTCCAATGAATCTATTCTTACAACCATGGCAACTAGGTCAAAGAGTTTACCAAATCATGAAAGCTGGAATCGTACAATATGTAAGTTTTATCATTAAAGAACAAAACTGTTCTTCTCTACTCTAATTCTTGATGTTGAACACGACTCTTTATGTGGAAACATCAATACTTTTATTAAGACCACTTGAGAAGAACTTTATTGATTCCATCATCCATAAAAGAACACATTTTTGTTTCAGATGATTATAAAGGCTGTTACAGCTGTTTTAGCGGTGGTTCTTGAAGCCTTTGACGTATACTGTGAAGGAGATTTCAGATGGGATTGTGGGTACCCTTACATGGCTGTTGTTTTGAATTTCAGCCAATCATGGGCTTTATATTGCTTAGTTCAGTTTTACGAAATCACAAAGAAAGAACTCGCACATATCAATCCACTTGCTAAGTTTCTGACATTTAAAGCAATTGTATTTTTGACATGGTGGCAAGGTGTCGCTATTGCCCTTCTCTATTCTTTTGGTTTTATCAAAATCCCAATAGCTCAAGAGTCGCAATTTAAATCATCTATCCAGGATTTTATTATTTGTATTGAGGTAATTACTTAATTTTCTTAATTAGTTACATCGATTCTCTCTTCGTTAATTTAACAGGCGTTTGTATTAATTAATGTAGAACAGATGGGTGTTGCTTCTTTGGTTCACATATACGTGTTTCCTTCAGAACCCTACACGTTAATGGGAGATCTTTTCCATGGAGATTTTTCTGTTCTTGGTGATTATACTTCCGATTGTCCTCTAGATCCCGATGAAGTTAGAGACAGTGAACGCCCCACAAAATTACGTCTCCCAAGACACGATCCTCGTGTGAAGAACAAAACCGCCATTAAAGAGAGTGTTCGTGATGTTTTTGTTGGTGGTGGTGAATACGTAAGTTCTTCAATTTCAATCTATTTACTTTCAATCTCTGAAAATATTAATGATTTGTGACAATTTTGAATACAGATTGTGAGTGATTTGAGGTTTACAGTGAATCAAGCTGTGCAACCAGTAGGTAAGGGGATCACGAAGTTTAATGAAAAACTGCATAAAATCTCTCAGAATATGAAGAAGAATGATAAAGGAAGGAGAACGAGAGATGACAGTTGTATTGCTAAAAGTAGAGAGATACGTGGAATAGATGATCCGCTTTTGAATGGGAATTTTAGCGACAGTTGTGGTGATGGTGCTGTCAAGAAAACAAAGAGGCAACGAAGGACATCAGGATACATGAGTGCAGAAAGTGGTGGTGAGAGTAGCAGTGAGCAAAGGGTGAGTTGTGATAGGTATCAAGTTCGTGGAAGTAGATGGGTTACAAAGGATTAGTATATGCATTAACTTGAAAAAGACTTGATTAATGGAGAAAAGGAATACATGGAGATCAATATATGAAGAGAGATGATTTCATGGAATCTTTTGCTTTTAAAGGTGAAGTTGTTGAGTGTTTTTTTTGGCTACGATGACACTCAAGAGGGCTTGTAGATTCTTAATTACGTGTTGAGCTTGTGTTGATCAATGTGCTTATTTTCTCCTCAATTTTGATCATGTTGAGATGATTTGGATGTGAAGTTTTGGATCATTATAATAAATTTAGAAATTTTTGTAGTAGGATGCATTGGTTTTGTTTGGAGGCTCATTTGGAGTTGTTTTGGTATAGTGCCTTTTTATGGAATGCGATGTTGCTCTCTAAGTAGTGGTCATTTCTCCAAGTGTAAAAGCGTAGCCCAAATTAGATTCCTACATATCTCTGTTAGTAAGAGATTCACAGATTGGGATAATCCAAAAAATCAATTTGGATTTGTGGCAAATTCAAGGTTGGATTTCAATGATACAATCAACCTTATAACAATGTCATATGGGTTTCAATGATACAGTCAATTAGTTGTTGGGCTAAGTATCACCAACATTTACTGCAAAATAACCATGTAACCATCAACATTGGGATTCTATCTGTATCACAATGGAGATAGAGAAAGAACCCAATATAGTGCTAGGAGCGCTAGCTATTTAAGTTTAACCACATTGCTCAATGATTTGATACATTAGACCTCAATGTGAATGTTAATATCTTGCACATGAATATAAGTATGTTGTTAAAAATTATTCATATATGTTGTTAAAAATAACTAACCTATTGTAATTCACTATTGACTAAGAATTCATATGATAATATAAAAAGTTCATATATAACATTATCATTATTAAACCTTAATAATATGATAACTGACGTATACTAAAACATTGAAAATTGAAGACTTTTATGATGATCGAATTTAATCTACAAAGTAGAATTCAAATTTATGACTAAAGAAAAATCTTTATCTTGAACAATATATTTTAATAGACTTTACTCACGAGTTGTGATTAAATAAATTATGTATAGTTATTTATTTATTTATTTATTATTATTATTATTTATTTATTTTATAGTATGTTTAACTATTGTTATGGTTAATGAATCAAAAAGCTACTCATGCCCTGATACCTTAGTGATTGAGATACAAAAAACCATCAAAATGATTTGATGTGGGCTTTGTAGGTGCTATGATTTAACCTCACAATTTCAAATTTATTTGTTTACTTTTCAATTTTAACAATGACGTTGTTTTTATATACCAAACATTGTTTTCAAGGTACAATAGTTTTTTATTTTATGTATATGTAGTTAATTATATTTTTAATTTAATATTATTTCTATAATGATGTTTAACATTTTAAATAACAAATAACAATGTTTAATTTTTAAAATAACAAATGACAATAATTAATAAAATCTATGTATTACTTTTTTTTTTATTATTATTTTTTTTATAATTCATGAAATATGAATATTTTATTATCAAGAAGTTTACAGTAATTTATGAAACTAGATAAATAAAAATAATAGAAGCTAATATAATAAAATTTAAAATATTCATCTTAAGACATATTTTTTAAATAAGTGAGTTTATAAGATAACTGTCTTTCTAATAAAATTAAAATATAAAACATAAAATAAAATATATTTTAAAAGTCCATTTAGGTATCATCAAATATTTAATAATTGTTATATATACTTTTTCTAATATTTACTTTGATTGAGTTGACAATGAATGGTTTTGACCATTATAAATGGAATTCTCCACAAGATACATGTTGTTGTGTCAACAAAATCCTTCCTTATATGGAAAATTTTATAACAGTTAACTTTTAATAATAATTTATTTAATTTTTAAATAAATAAAAAGTAATAATTTGGGTGAGGAAAGGATGGTGACAGAAGAATATCATAACTTATTAACTTGGGGGGTGAAATGATGGAATCAAAAACTTGGTGGGGCTTATGAAATTTCACATAACATGGAGGAACTAAATGGAAAATTTCTGTAGAAGAAAGAGACTAGAGAGGGTTTTTACTTGGAAGGTCTCGGATTCACAAATTCAGAGCTGAAACAACACGATGTCCGCCAGAGCGTTGAGGAAAGTGCTTAATGAACAAGAATCAGCAAAGAATCAAGACATCATATTGTCCGATGACGATGAGTCGGAATCTCCCTCCAATTCACCCCGCCCTTCTTCAATTAATCCTTTCGATCTCCTCAACGAGCAGGAGGAGCAGGAGCAGGAACAGGAACAGGTGCGTTTGATTACACCATGATTTTGGTTGTTTATATCCCAATAGATTTTCTTCCCAATAGATGAATTTTCATTGTTCTTTAGCTTATTGCTAATTGCTGTAGTTAATCTTGGTTCTGTTTTTTAAAAATCATTCCTGATGAATAGGGTTCTTATGTGATGGTATTGGACCTTCCTGATTTTCGAGTATCTTTTTGAGCTAAGTTTCCGATTGCTTGTGATAATCTATTAGTTTCTTGATTTCATATAAAGGCACACACTTTTGATTTTGGATGCTATTCAAGTACGTTTTATGCAACTAGTGATGCAATTTTTTTTTCTTTTAAATTGAGCATCCAGACTTTGAGGACATCAAAAGGGCTAGCTATTTTTTCAAGTTAAAGTTTTTGGGTTCTTGACTTTTGGAGAAATACTTGTAAAATACATGAAACTTTGCAACAAGTATTACAAACTCAACAATGTTATTGGTAGATTACTGATAAATCCCTATCAACTTTGTGTTTATCAGGTACTCTGTGATGCCAAAAATTAATTATAGCTCATTTATGTTGGAATAGAGGAAGTATAGGTTTTACTTTGCAAACTTTATTTCTCTTGAAAAGTTCATAATTCGCACAAATATTGGATTTCAACTAGACTTCACCATGCAAAGTTTAACATTTTTTCTTATATAATATATGAGTCTATCATATTTTTATTTTCTCTATTATTATTTTGGACTCTTAACAATCCATAAAGTTAAGATATTTATTTGTTTTCTTTCCTTACTTTTTGATTGATTGTGTTTTTGTTAGTGATGAAGTATCACTAGATGACTTGATCTAGGACTTTTGTGCATATAGTTTGATGTGATAGATGATTTTATGGGCCTTCAAGTATCAATCTTTTACTTATAGATATTTTGTTATTGTCAATACTCAATAGTCAAATCATTTTACTTTCTGATGCATTTTTGTATGATAATACTACTGCATAAACTTGTACTTCTTATTATAAGAGGTTACTAAAAAACTTCTATGGTTTATATAACTTGATGCTTTTCAACGTGTGTATAATTTTATAATCAGCCTCAAACTCTGAATTGCAGGAGAATGATGCTAGTGATGTTGACACCTCCTCTACAGTAAAAAATGAACACAATTTACTCCCCAGTAAGAAAAATACCACTACCAATGCCATATCATCCAGTCAAAAATCAAAGAAAAAGAAAAAGAAGAAGAAGAACAAGGCAACTACAGGCACTATGGATTCCTTAGATGCCATATTAGAAGACTTATCTTTTGGAGTCAATTCATCCGGTAGTCAAAGTCAAACCCGGTCTTCAAGAAAGAAATCTGAAAATGTGAATGATGAGGGTGATAGACATAAACCAGGGAAAGGATGCACAACAAACATACTGCAAGTGGATCCAAGATTCCTTAGTGCAGAAAATGAGCTGAGGAGAATATTTGGGTCAAAAGTCGTGAGTTCATTTGAAAGAAGCAATCAAAATCAAGCAGGAAGTTCTAGACAACAGAGTCGCCTAGGAAGACGTGGGGCCCACACCCATAGAAAGACAATTATCGTCTCTCCCTCAGAGCATTGGCCTAGGTGGGATGGATCTCTATCCATGGAGCTTCTTGAAAACAAAGATGGATTCACCTATTTCAGGTAGCTTTTATTCATATGATATCTTTTCTTACCCATTTCCCCCACTAGTGTATTAAAAGACAATTTTAACCTTACATTTAGGTACATACCATCATCCACCTACAGCCTAGCTCAAAGACAATTCGAAGCTGCAAAAGCATCACATGATCTGAACACCATAGCAAGTATTCTTTTACACCACCCTTACCACATAGATTCCCTCACAACCCTTGCAGAATACTTCAAATTCTCAGGTGAACTCCAAATGTCAGCAGATGCCACTTCAAAATCTTTATACGCATTAGAATGTGCTTGGCATCCATTATTCAACCCTTTACAAACCACCTGTAAATTACAATATAAACATGAAACAAATCAACAGCTTTTCACCACACTCTTTTCCCACATGAAAAACATGGATAGACGCGGGTGTCATCGCTCCGCTCTTGAAATATGCAAACTATTAGTTTCCCTAGACTCTGATGACCCGATGGGCGCGTTATTCTGTATTGACTATTTTGCCCTTAGAGCCGAAGAGTATAAATGGTTGGAAACGTTTTCTGAAGAGTATAGTAGCGATAACTCGATGTGGTTGTATCCGAATTTCTCGTATTCACTCGCTATTTGTCGGTTTTATCTTGAACGTGAAGAAAAAGAAAAAGAAAAAGAAAAAGATAAAGATAAAGATAAAGATAAGTCGAGTTCGAGTGATCTTATGAAACAGGCTTTAATGCTTCATCCATTGGTTTTAAAAAAGTTGGTGGGTAAAGTTCCTTTGAAAGAACAGGTGTGGACGAAGATAACTAATCATGGTTTTTTTGGAATGGATCAAAGTGGGAGTGAATCGTTGGATCATTTGATTAATATTTATGTTGAAAGGAGTTATATTATATGGAGACTCCCTGAGCTTCATAATTTTCTTAAGGATACGGCGTTATCAGTAATTGAAAAGATGGAAATTAGTCGAAGTGAAGCTAAAGATTGGGAGTGTGTGAGAAAAGAAGCGTTTGCATCCGATAAAAACGAGTGAGTATGCGTTTTTCTTGAAATTATTCTCAATTTTTATAGTTTCAATGCAAGAAATTGCAATCGAGATTATTTATGATTGTTTTATTTTACATTATTACAGGTATTCACACTTGATGGTATCTGATTTCTCTGATTCAACGCCAACAATTCCTCCAGAAAATTTGCAAAATTTTATGATAGATCCGAGGTTGGTGGACATGCATAATAATAATAATGTTAATGTTGTTGGTGACAACCAAGAAAATATTCCGGGTCTGGGTCCGGGTCCGGGTCCGGGTCCGGGTCCCGCACGGGCTCCTCGTGAAGTTGCAAACAGGAATGCATTGGCGGTTTTGTTTGAGTCCATGTTACCATGGAT